CATCGAAGGAGATATTATTTTATTTCTAAGATACACTGAAACATAAAAATAGGTTTAATAAAGACCACAAGAACTTACAATAGAATTTTCTGTAATAGAACCATTTCGTTTTAATTTTTGAAATAGACCTAGATGGGTTTCATAATTGACATAACATGAATTTGGTAAAGTGGATATTTGGGAATTGTCGAATTGCAAGAAAAAAATGAAATAAAGTTGAAATGAATTAGCACTTTTAACCAGTGCAGTTACGGCTGAAAAAGGTAAAAACAAGATAATAGTGAGTGATTATTAATGTTTGTAATTTTTTTGTCAGGTTGGCAACATATTTAAAATTTTATGATGGCATACCTGATGTCAAATCGAAATTTTGGGTAGCTTCCATCTCATTGATCATACTAAAATTGACGTGCGAACATTGCTGCCAATAGTTCATAATTGCCAACCCAAAAATTTGTTTGAAACATTTATAATCCCCCAAAGTTGACATTGACATTAATCTTCCGCAGCCAACTTAGAGACATGTTACCTTATTTTTTACTAGCTTTAATTCAGCGCAATCAAAATAACGTGGTAATTTCTAAAAGAGAAAACATATTTTCCAAAAATCTGTATCCTCCGGACTAAAACATTACTCCAAGATACATTAAGACATGAATTAAAATTTTTAGTGATCAAAAAGTTGACAGTTAAAAAATCACGACTTGAACATTCACAATTTTGGTCGTTGTCATTCATGGTAAACAGAAATTATGTAATTACCTTCGATAATGGTCGATTCAGGTTTAATTACGCGCATTATTTACATAATACTTTTATAAGAATTTATTTTCACCAACGTAACATTAATGATTCTTCCAATCACGTAACGTCGTCGGTTAATTATAAATCGTAAATTTCATTCAAATTTTAAACAATTAAACGTACTTACACTTCAACGTGATACTCACCAATGTCACGTTGTAAATTATTATTGAAATAAGAAGACTTACAATGGTGAGATTGTTCCAAAAATACCAGTGCAAACAAACTTCGTTGTATTGGGGTCCATTTGATCATTTAACCGTAGTCGCCATTGTTTTTGTTGAAGGTCACAGTCGTAGGGACGCTTTCCATATTTCAATAATTCTTTCTTTGCCCTTTCGTACTCAAGGAAGGGCATCAAAAATTAACATTATTGGTATGGTCGTCGTCATATTTCCCGATAATTTGGCTTGATTTTGTCGATACAGAGATTCAATGTTACATGGTCTGTGCTTCATCTCAGATGGCCGTAATTTTCACTAGTAACACATTTCAAACACCCAGTATATGGACAGTCCGGATTTTCATCATCCCACTGTCCGTTTTGTAAGAAAATAAAACACTTTGTTTCTTTTTTATCAAAAAAGCGACTACCTCACAATTACTACGTAAAAACTAATGTCGTCATTTTTAGGCATGCGCATGCGCATTGTCGGCGTATTCGCGATTTTTGCCGATCTTAGGCGAGATCAAACGAAGCATTTTTAAATTAATTAATTCTATTAAAGTGAAGTTCAATTAATAAACGAGATGTTTACCGTTTTACCACCTCCACGATCATTTTAAAGTTCACCCAAAATTTCATAGTAGTTGGTGGTTCGCAAATTGTCTCCATAATAAAATCGTCAACAAATTAAAGCGGAAAACGTGCGTTTTTGTATTCTACGAGATGTGAAGCACCAAAAAAACGTTGGAAGACCTTGTTGCAACACATCTTGTAGACCTAGCTCTTTCATAAATGGGACAATTTTATTAAACTTTTTTTTTTCTAATGCAATGAAATTTTCAGATTACCTACGTCATTGTAAAAAGCTTAAATAAATGTATCATTAAAACGTAACCTTGTTGTTTCCCACGACACACGTCACAAGTGCGAGGTGTATTAACTTGATCTGCCACACTTTTCAAATTGTGTAAAACCGAGTTCACTAAATGGGAAAAAATGAAGACCCTAATGTGTAATAAAGTAAGATTTTTTCGTTAATCCTACAGCTATAAATTTTTAATTAAACAAAAAAATAACTCTAAACCGCTCACATTGTTCACAATATTATTCCACGTGCCGTTCAGATTTACGACACTGCTGATAATAGCGTAATTCGAAAAAAATTGCCTGACGTAAAACCCAAATCCCAGTAGGTGGCATTTTCAATCAAACCCCTGTTTAAATCAAAAACAGTTTATTTCATGTAAAATCTGAGTTGAGGTAGGTAGCCACGTCGTCGGTATGACGCAAAAGTGACATAATTTGCATTTGCGTATTTTACTATATTACAACGGAATCTCATCCTCATTTTGTACAATTAGTCTAATGCAATGTGACGTACCCACACAAATAAAGGCGTGGTACCCAGCTTATTTTAAGGAGCTAAAATTACCTATTGTTACACGAGAATTCCGGTAATTATTAATTCTCATTATCATTGATGCGCCTAATAATAGTGCAACCTGATAAAGATTTCGGTAATTTATGGACACGTAGACGCTGAACTCCCTATTTTTAAGCGAATGCACGAAGTCGGATAGTTTGATTGTTTCGAATTTCTAAATTAAGTAAGCAGAAAATTTCTAATTCGAGATTTTAACAGGTCACGGAGCTATTTTTAGCCAGTCGGGCTGTATATATGCAAGCGGCTCTCTTTTACTCTGATTAATAAATAAAATAAAATCAATACATGTATACAACGATTTCCCTAAACCCTCCAAGAAAAGTCGTCAGGTCGAGTATACCGCTCACAAAATTACGACCGTCTTCACATTTCATTTAATTTTATTACCATAATTAAGTCACAACCCGCGGTAGCCGGGCCCACAAAAAAACCAAAACCGTCCCATTAAATGCCTCGATTTTATTAATCTCTTCCTGCCTGGTACATACCATCCAAAACCTGTCCGACCCGTCTTTGATTTGTATCAAGGGTGAGACGCCACACTCCAACAGGTACTTCCCTCGAAATGTGGTTCATTCCGTTTCCTAGCAACGGTGCATTAGAGAGAAAGTAGGTCCGGCTGCAGGCGGCGAGTCTGCCAGGCCTCGGCGGCGGCGGCTGCCGACAGAGGCCAGGGGTGGGGAACGCCGCCCCCGGATTTATGTTATTACAGATTATCAAAACAACCGCCCACATGGACGGGTTTGATCACAAACTAACCAGGTAGAAGGTAAACAGGGGGCTTGGCGGTGGCGGTGGCTGTTTCGGATGCGGCTTGCCCCAGTGACCCCTCAACACATGAATCGATACAGCGGTTTTACTCAATGAACGATTTTGCTTCATTGTGAATTGGGCAAGGCTTGGAAGGGGCCTTGTGAGGGGCTAAAGTTACCATGCGCTTTGGGGCGAATGTTGAATAACGCAAAATTTCGTTTGAGGGTGTTTTACGACTGTTATTCATAAATGTTTCTGCGAATTTTAGATTTAAAATTATAAAACGTGGTCGGTAATTAATGTTCGTGGAAATTTATTAATATGAAATGTTAATAAAAAAATGTTCAATGGTAAAATATAAAACAGTGTTATCTAGTTATTATCATGATTGATGGGTGAAATTAATATTTCAAGATTTGGCATTTCAGCCGGAATTTATGTTTATTAAAATGGAAATGATAACGTTTTTAAAAAGCAAAAGAACACATTATTTTTACTTAATTGCAATGATCAAAAATAATTTAATACTAGGGTGTTTGATCGAAAAAAAAAACATCCAGTAGCCCATGAAATTTATTTTTAATTAACTGAGCAACGAACGCGAAGTGTTGCCTACATTGTTTTTTCAAACTTAAATTTCAAATATTTTTAACTTTTATTTGAATGAGGTAGATTATTTTTCTTAACTGATAGGTCAAAGTTGTTCCAAAACTACCCGTAATTAAGGATTTTTTAAGTAAGCGATTATATTGATACTGATAGTAATTCCACAAATTTTTAATAGATTGGTTCAGTACTCTTTTTGCAAAAAATTTAAACCAAAAACCATGAAGACAATATTCTTCTTACGATGGCACATCCTCAATCTTGAGTTGGAGTCATTTTAATTTTTATTAAGTATGAAGGTAATGAAAGGTATATATTTAAGTTAAAGGACTACAACTTGTAGCAAAACAAATCAATAAGCGAATAAACAAAATAGAAATTAGTTCAGCACTAGACACAGCTCCAACTTGCTTTCGTCCCTTTGTAGCGAGAATTTTTTGTGATTTTTTGTGATTGTCAAGCTCGGGCTATAAGTTCCTCGGTTCGGGCCATAAACGCCTCTTTACGCCCTTGGTACATAAATAACTATTTTTTGTTGATTTTATGTCACGTATTTTTAAAACAAACCGTAACCCTATTGTAGACACACTAATCACTCCTTTTTAACAATGAACTACTATCAATGGCCGATTTCATTCCATTGTTAATTTCGAGGTCGTTTCCGAACGTACTCACCGAATAAGTAAGTAATCAAAAGTTCATTGTCTCGATTTCCGGGTAGTACAAATTCCTAGAAACCATCAGTAGTCGTAGTGTAAACTTAAACATAAATAAAACTGCAGCTTTTCCTGCGCAACGAAGAAAGGAAGTCGCTTTAAGATTACTAATCCCTCTACGTAACGTCGGATTATAAAGAATCCTTACTTCACCGCTTTATTAAAAACTCGCGAACTGAAAGTAAAGCCGATCTAATTTTGAGTTTTCAACCTTGTCTACGCTTACGTTACGTGATAGCCATTCTAAATTTAATTTATCTTCATTTAATAAAACTCATTCATTGAAAGCAAACCCGCGCATTTAATACCGCATTATTTATTATGTAGCGTATGCTTGCAATACTCCGTGCTGCGTTATAAAACAGTGAATACGTTTCATGCACGTAATGCGTAACGAGTCGCTCGCTTCGCTCGCTTCCGGTAGCTCGCTGAAATATGTAGGCGTACGCGGCACGACCTTCGCTTATAAAATGCTATATAGACTTTTACCGTTTTGTTTCTTTATTTTCAGATGGGTTTCCAACATTCCGAAATTCCTACCCGGAATGGTGCGACAGTTGCTCCGAGCTGTTGGATAATTCGGGTGGAACTTTACCATCTGCTGCCGGACCAGACCCCCTACCTTTGATGGGGCTGCGGTCCCTTCGAATTTCAGCACCGCCATTGCATAGACCCCATCGAAGCTGCGACAGTTTGTCGTCTACTGCCAATAGTTCCACTGACAGTTCGGATACTGATGATCGATGTGATAGTTCTTTAGGTAGGGGATCTTTACTTTCCTTGTTTATCTACGTAGAGGTTTTTAGCAGATTCAAAAATTTTGGTGTTTTTGTGTATATATATGAAGCTTACAATTAAATATAGCACGAGGTTATATTTTTTGAAATTAGTACTTCCTATTGATTCTTATCGAAAACGGAGATCGAACTGATTTTGTCAAAGTTCAAAAAGTTTCTGTGGCAATTGAACGATTTTGACGTAAACTTGAAGTATCAATTTTATAAGATTAAAAAACGTTTTTAATTAAAAGTCACTGATAACAATATACTTATCGTGGGTTTTTTTGTGTCGTGAAAAAGGGTCAACAGCGTAAAACAGATGTTTGAATGTTATAAGTAACTAATCTATAAATGACGCAAAGATTGAATTTTTTTAACACACCTGTAACTTATTTTTTAGCCGTGTGTTATGTGTCAAGTTCGTTTGCTCGTGTGTGACGTCCAAAAGATTCTCTCTCTCATTAGCTGAGTCATTAGGCCGCGATTTGTTTCAACTGTTTTGCAAACAGTTTGTAAATTATCAATGAACTTATCTAAATGCTAGACAGGTTTTTTCCAATCCTGCTTCATTCATTGCCATTGTGTAGCATCCAAAGAGTTGCACAGTCATTGATAAATATAGCATGATGATTATCAAATTAGTAATTATTGTTATTAAACTCGTATCTCTCAGTCATCACAAATAAAACTGAATGCGCCTAATTATAAGACTGAGAGATTACCTTTTTTGTACATACGAACGCCAAAGTCCAGTGAGTAAAGCGTTCAAGTTCTTTCAGGTTTGGAGGAAGATAGAGAGTTTCCTGTCGAAATTCTTCCTCACCTGTTTCTCGGTAATGCGGCTAATAGCGAAGACAGCCAGTCACTCGAAAGACACGGTATTCAGGTGAGTTGTTCTCCAGTAATGAGCATAAATCTTCATAATGATCAGTTGTAATTAATTTCTAAAAATCTTTTTCGTTCTTGCAGTACATACTAAACGTCACTCCTGATTTGCCTAACGTCTTCGAAGATTGCGGAAACTACAAGTATATGCAAATTCCTATTACGGATCATTGGTCCCAGAACTTAGCAAGTCATTTTCCGAAGGCTATAGAATTTATAGGTGAGTGTCTGTGTGGAAATTCCAAGGAAAGCGCCACGTTCAAAAACAAACGAAACCGCTGAATGAAAGATAACAGCGAATTCACTTCGCACAAAAATAGCTACAATAATAAATGAAACACTTTTCCATTGTAACTTTCATATCTTAAGATTAAGAGAGCCGCGATGTCATTGTTTCGTCGCGATAAAATCTTCAATGGGGGGCCTTTATCTCCCCGGAATATCTCATTCTGTATACAATTAACAATTTATAGAAGTGTGATCTACACGTGATCACTCAAATCGGTAAATCCATGTCTTGACATTTACGCCTAAGCTACCACCGCCATCTAGCGACCTCCGTACTCAAAGTCGCCACTTTACCGATTTTTCTCGTTTTCGGTGTCTTAACCAACAGGTCGCATCTTTTTACAACTTTCATGTTGTTCGTCCGCAGTAAATTGTCGGCATACATGAAACTACAACGGAGGAACCAACATAATATAACTTTACGACCTTTGCAACATTCATAACACCCCAATTTCATCTTGAATGAACATTTCAGCGTTGGTCTCCGTTGTTTGCTTCCCCTTCATTTCGAAACTGGTTGCCTCAGCCCACCCATTCCGCGTACTGGTGAATGAGTAAAGTTCGGTTCACACGATGATTTAATGCAAGGCGTAGGCGGAACGCGGGTCAAATAAGCGGATACGGGACTGTAATAATTGATGTGACAGCACCTCGATCCGAAAAGGAACTTCCGGATCTAGGAATCTAAAAGTGTAAAAATTTTCACCTGCATTTTTAGCCAATTTTTTGCCGGAAAACGATAGCTGTTTAGAAAATTTTACCGTTGACGTTGACTGTGCATGGTTGACAGTCCTAGGTAATACTGTTGTTTTCAGCTTGCAGCTAACTTTAAATGAAAACATTATTGGACTAGATTGGCTCCAGTGTGCTAATCTGTCAAGAAAATCTATCAAGTCAAAAACTTTAAGTAAACTGTCTACGAATAATCAAAATTTTGTAAAATTTGGCCACAAAAGTACAAAGAAGTGTTAAAATTACTGCTCTGTTATTTACAGAAGTTAAATGAAGTACAGGAACCGAAAAAAAATGATTAAAATATTCCTGTTTTTTGAAAATATTGAACGTCAAAGTTGAACAATTAACTTGAAAATTCTGATTTGTTAAAGTGCATTGTCTAATAGACAGTTAAACAATTTGTTATTAATAATTTAATAATTGACAATTCATCACGTCATTTTTTAGTGTTGACAGATGTTATTTTTGACCATTTTTATCGAAATTTTAGATTTTCAATTAAATTCACATTAAAGCATCAGAATTACGTTATTTTGGTTTAATATTTTCAAAAATTTGTTTCAAAGGTTTTTTAACCATTTTTTGGAATTTTTTGGGATTTTTCAGAACCTTCTTAATGACGTACCATCGAACAAATAAGTCATTTTTTCATCACTCGGTATGTATATATGTATATATTTTTTTATTTTTGACCAATCTGGGTGTTTAGTAACCGTTGTGGCCTATGGTTTTCTAGATTAAGTGAATCTTAGGCAATGATCACATTTTCTCCACTAAATGAAACAATTGAAGTAAAAGTGAGGGTAATTAAAATGTTATTTTTGACAATTTATTCTGTGGTAGTAAATATTATACTGGCGCAATATTGAAGTGGACATTTTTCGTCCCCTGACATTTTCTTAGACTTTACCAGCATATTTTATTTTTGAAAAGTCCGACGCGACGTTGCCAAGTTATTGATTTTTTTTTTAATAATGCAGAAATTCACAAAAAAAGCAATGAGGTTATTGTTAACTTTGTTCAAGTACTAATAAAATGGAGGTCGTCATTTTTTTATGAATTCTAGTAAAACTTGAATGACTTGGCAACGTCGTATTGGAACTTCAAAAATAAAGTATTTTTGCAAAGCCTAAGAAGGGCACAGTCGGGACACGAAAAAATGTATAGGGTTTTTCAGGTAAAGAAGGAAGTTTTCTGTTATGCTTCATAAACAGAACACTCTGTATATTTGAAAATAACTTTATTTGCTAGAAGAACCGTACTTGTTGTTTATGAATCCGAGTTGAGTGTTACCCTAGACATCCAATTTTTGGAAAAAAATCAAAATTGTAGAACATTTGCAAATGTTTTAAGGTTATCATACGCATGGTAAATAGTTAATCAAAATGTGTTCGTTTATCTCCTCCCAAAAAATTGATGACGTCATCTCAAAATTTTGTCGAATATGCCTATCTAAATTATCCAAAATGTTATGAATTTATACTTGTGGTTTACCATAGCATTCATATTTTTTGGAGTTACTTTTACAGGGTGACTCAAAAAATTAATAAATGAAAAATTATTTTATTGATCAAATCAAAGACGGCTCACCCCATTTTCGCCAAATTTGAATGTGTATACAGTACTGTTATTAGTATTGCACTGTATCTATTCGAATTGATATATGTATCCAGGCTAAAATGTTGATGACGTCATTACAAAATTACTCTTACTCTTTATTTATCATAGAAAAATTAAATTCGCAAAATGTAATTTTATAATTTTTATAAGAATTTGTATTTCTTTATCTGTATTTCAGGGGGAGCGAAGTTCTGTTTATATAACTTTAGACAATTTTTTCCATATCTAATAATAACAAAATATCTAACGCTTATTGAATCACCCTGTATATTTGTGGTAGCAAAATGGCCTGGAATCTCATTTGCTGGTCCTATTTGTAATTAACTAACTAGCTTCGTAGATTATTAAATAGCTAAATTTTATAAATGTATACATTTAACTAATTTGTTTATCTAATCATAAATGTTTAACTATATACCACTAACTAAAAATATAATCGATAAACTAAAAAAACTGATCGTCTAGTAGCACCCAGTTTTTGTAATTTTGCAAATATTTCGAATGCTGTGAATTTTTTTTTTCTAACCTGGAATTTTACGTAAAAAAAGTTATTAAAAGTGATCGGAATCTACCAAAAAAAAGTAGTGCGATGTGATTCATTTAAATGTTCGAGGTCATAATTTTTATTACAATCCTTGATAATGTTAAAACGTAAATTATCATTAGTAATATTCCGAGAACTGTTTACGCTTAAATCCGCCCTACTCCAATTTACTTCATTTAAATTACGCAAATTTTACGAACTGAACTAGAATAAAATGAAATGACAGTTAATTGCTCCGGAAATAATTGTAATAACAGTTTCTTCTATGCAGCCAAGCGTGCTTTGAAAATTCACTGTACTGTTCCGGTTTTGAAAGAGTGAATATTGTCAAAAAAATTTCGATGGGTGTATCTAGGGTAATGAAAACTTGCAAATTTTTGCAGTTTGGGTAATTTTCCAAAAGTAATTTAGTTTCTGTGAACAAGTTCGTTACGATCTCCCAGTAAAGCCATCAGAAATTACGAAAAATTGTTTGGTGTTTCACTATTCGAGAACAAGAACTATAATCAGCTTCTAGTTTGGACATAATATTTGCAAATTGACATATACAGCGTGTTTCATCTCATTTCTGATATATCAAAATTACGTCAAAATCACTCCCTGTTTTAGTATGAACAAATAAGACTTCAAGAAATATATTTTTAGCTGCAAATATAAGCATCATGAAATGTCAAAATGTTAATATAATTTTGAACTGTAAAAGTCAAGTTGCGTCATACTTAAAACGCGAAATGAAATGTCAAAACTACCATACATCAAACCAGATACGAAACCGTGAAAAATGGAAAATCTCAAAGGGTGAAAGTAAAAATACCCCAGCTTCAAAAGCTGGAAATTAATTAAACGTCGAATGCCAAAGTTGCTAAAAACAATAGCTTTTTGCGAAACTAAAATAAGCACTCCCCTCCTTGCAAGCCCACTTTTCGCTCTAAAAACATTACCAATTCCCCGCCCTCCATCCTTGAACCCGCTCGCAAATCCTCCCCCGTCTCGTTAATCCGCCACGCGCTCGTGCCGTCCCCGGCCGAGGTCAAACCAACGGCCGCCGCCGCCCCTATCGCTGTCAAATCTTACGGTCGTTTATTCCACATATACGTGGGTATTTATTTCGGGTGCGTGTAGGCGTCGGTGTCGTGTTGAAAATTCACCGGCGGCGGCGGCAGCAATGCCGCCCACGCACATACACTCGAAAATCAATAGGGCCGGAGCAAAGAGGAAGTGAGATAGACACAATACGCAAAGATATTATTATGTTGTGCCGACGATAGACCGGCTGACTAAGCGAGTTTCTGTCTCCGTTTTCCACCCTCTACCTTTCATTCAACACAGACATGAATGGCGCTCCGATCTAGGTCAGCGAGGGAGCCGCCACCGGTTCCATTCACGGACGGCGGCGGCAGGGATCTATGCAAATGCTGGCAGACGGAGTGGCTCTAGACTCGCACTTTTTAATGGGAAGAGGGCATTGATGGGATTTTGGCAAAGGGGACGCTCGTGAATTGTGGCAGCCGGTTATGAATGGTTTTTTCATATGGAACTCTCCACCGAAAAAAAAAATATCAACAGTGAACATGTCATTCGTAAAACTGTAGTAGAATTATTTTGAGAAACATCGTTTGTTAGCAATTTTTTTTAAACAGATCACCTCAAAACGTGAATTCTTTAAATTTACAGCTCGAAAGTTTCTCTCATTAAATTTTTGTTATTATAAATTAAATTACAAAAAGCAATAATTATTAATTGGCGATGTGACCTTTTTGATGTTTTTTAAATGTCAAGAGACTATACAAAAATTACATGTAAAAATCGCAGATAAAACTAAGTGACAAAATGTATTCATAATATGGCATGTACTTAATTTGTCAAAATTGGAAGCTTTAACCACTACAGTTGTGTTAAAATATCAAAGAATTTAGTAGATCGGTGATTGATAAGTGTCAAAAAATGTTAAATGTAAACCAACAATGGATATTTTTTAATAAGATTTTTAATACTATAAGCGCGAAGTTTCAAAGAAAACTAGTACAAGATTA